CAAAGTAGAATTTTTGCTCACAGGACTCCACAGCTTAAAGGGAGCATTGTTGGGGGAACAGTTTCCAAAAGGAAGGCACAATGAGGCTGGTGTAGGTTTGCCAAGTCCCCCTGGGCTCGTTCCCCGCCGCTGGCGGATCGAGTCCCGGGGGGAACCCCACCCCGACGTGCGCATCACCCGGAAGTGACGTGACGACGCTGGGCACGCTGGGGGCGGGGCCACAGTCATCTGAGGGAAAACTCTATGGTTTTCCCTCGGATGGTTGTGGCCCCGCCCCCAGCGTGCCCGGCGTCGTCATGTCACTTCTGGGTGACGTGCATGCGGCATGCTCCAGCCACCCTCCAGCGGGGAGTCCCCCGCTCCGGCGAAATTTTGACTTGGCAACCCTAGGCTGGTGTGCAGGTGCAGGTGTGTAGTTCAGTTCCACACAATGTGTGCCTGCAAGCAGTCGATTCATCTGCAAATTGGTACCTTATTCCTGTGGGCATAAATATATGGACACTATGCTCTCCAAATCACCACATCTTGTGCTACACCCCGAAGTTGGTGCCACTCACCTCTCCGGTTGAAGGGCTTTGAATAAACTTCCACTTTGGAGCAACAAAGCACAGGTGTCAGTTAGCCACAATTCCTTACTACGAGCAACTTTAGCTCAGGAACACATGATCTTTTTTAGGGAGTTGAAGGTGGTTTGAAAGAAGTTTGCCCCACTTAGCACCACTAGTTATAGATTTTACAGGGTTGGGAATAACTTCAAAAATTGCAATAGTTATTTGACCAATGGGACACCCAGGAAAATGGAAGCATCTCAAATTACTTTCAAGCAGGGCTTTTTTTTGTAGAAAAAGCCCAGCAGGAAATCATTAGAATAATAGGCCGCACCCAACAGCAGAAGCTCATTAGCATATTAGGCCACACCCCATGCCTCCCCAATCCTTCCAGGGGGGGGCCACCTTGGAGTCACTGGGGGGGGGGTTGTCGCTCTCCAGGCCTTCCCTCTGTAGCCACGCACGCAGAGGTTTTGGCTGTAGTGGACGTGGCCAACTCCGAAGCCAGCCAGAACTCCGTTCCTGTGCGTTCCTGCCCAAAAATAGCCCTGCTTTCAAGTACTGATGTACAGATATATCCTTTTTGTTTGAGGTTTTGTATCTTCTTGTTGAAAGCCTTTACATCTCACCCATTTTCATTGTGGGTGTTCCCTATTAGTTTGCTTCATTATGGCATGACATTTGTAACGCTTCCACGCGCTATATTATGCAGCTGATAAAAAGATAACATTAGAATCCATAGATTTAACTGGCAACGTCTGGTGTAAGGAAACAGAAAGTGGCACAAAAGAGACTCACAGAATGGGGAAACAAAAAAAAGTAAGCATTTTGGAGTCGGAAGAGTGGGGTTGCAAGATTCAGTAGCATTCCTCCTTTCAACTCTGTTAAATCTTTTTCTTCCTTTACCTTTTAGTAACTGATAACACGGCATTAACAACGCTAAAACACCTCAAGTTTTACCATTGCTGGATCACCAGATGATGTCTGGGATTAAATTTTCATAGCTGCTTCTGAGTTGGCTGGCATGTTGTTAGATCGGATACATTTAGATAATCCAATGGAGTTTCTACAGTAACATAACATTTTCCTGTCAAGGATTGCTGTCACACACGCCAGAAAAAAAGGGGGAAGCGAGGCTATTTCCTCCAGAGGAGTTTGGCCCGCAGTTGCATGATCACAACTCCCTTTGAAGCTGCGGGCGCAGTCTGTCAGTGCGTGATCAGATGCAACTGCAGGTGAGTCGGGATTTTTTTGGTGCTGGTTTTCCCCCATGCCCTTAACCGAGGGATCGATGAATCACACCTCTGCACCGAGGGCTCCGTATGGAGTTTGTGATTATGTGCATACTGCGAAGGGGGGGGGGACAACGGCTTGGAGTCGAGATGGCCTGATCAGACCATCTCGATGCCATGAGAGTGTACTGGAGCGATCAGACACAGGAAAGTCCATCCGTGGCCCATCGCAACCCGTTAAGTACCAGATTTCCCCCGGTGTCTTTTAACGCTGCTTCTGCGGCAGAGCAGAATGGGTTGCTGACGGCTGCGGGGCGCTTCCCAGATGTTGTTGTCTGATCGTGCCCTTTAAATCTGCCCTGCATTTGCACCTATGTCGGGTCTAATTGTGCGTATGATCGCAGCCAAGGATTTTCACATGAAAGAGTGGGAATTAAGATATTTCATTACACACACACACGTGCATAAATTCATAGGCTCCTGCCAATTGATTAGTTATTAGGATATATATATATATATCTTACCCTGGATATATATATCTTACCCTGGGAAAACATCAAAATATCTGGGTAGTATCACTTAAAGTAATAGCCTTCTATGAAGTATACTAGTTTGCAGTTTTGCTTGAGCATAACACATACAAAGCTAATTTATCAAAGAAATGAACGTTCATCATTATAGGTGCGTCTGCGTAATCCTATCCCCAGTCACGATGGAAAAGATGCTAAATAAAATACACTGTTGAAGGCTGGCTGTAAAGAGTGGGAGATAGTCATTCAGATTTGCAAACCAGAGCTGTACTTCTGTTTACAGTTTAGATGTGGTTCCGCCACTGGTTTTCTTTTTCCCATTCCTAGCTATGACAAACACCTTAGGCTGTTTGTCAGAGTCACCAATAAGTAACCTCCTCTTGAATGCCTGTTGGTTAACTTGCTCCTGTCATGTTGTGAATCCCAGATCTTTCAGACCAATGAAGTCTTGATATAATTCCCATCAACATAAATTAGCAGGAAATCAAATGGAACCACTCTTACGAGATGCTATTGCTACAACCTCCCTTCAAATGTATATGCCACTGTGGAATGTCTAGAATTTCATAATCCTCTGGCTTTCATTGAAGTTACACTAAGATTTCTGAGGGACAAGGTGATTATTTAACAATTTTATTCTTAATCTGGTCTGAAGTTCTAATGAAGGAACAGGATACATTGAACAATACAAGTTGGCAGTATTGGCCAGTTAAGAGTCTTAACTGAAGTATTATGCTAAGACTTGGTATTACTGAGTTCTGCAGGAGAATATAAGCTGCTCAAATCAATTTCCTACAAGATGTTCAGGGCAAAATATGGGGAGGGGGAGGGTAGGACCTCCATTTTGTCTAGCAATTTTATTCTGAGTGATAATGGCAGCCAGGGCTTTTTTTGGGGTTTTTTTGGTTGTTTAAAAGAGAGAGAGAGATAGGGCTGCCAAATGCAGCCGGGGGGCGGGGAATCCCCTGTTTCGGAGCCCCGATTCCCGGCGCGCCGGAATCGGGGCCTGGGGGAAACCCCACCCCCGCGTGCGTGTCACCCGGAAGTGACGTCGCACGCTGGGGGCGGGGCCACGCGATTTGAGGGGAAAACAAAGAGTTTTCCCCTCAAATGGACGATCCAGATTTGGCAACCCTAGAGAGAGAGAGAGAGAGAGAGAGAG